AGCAACAGTTCTGTGCTGTCATTTCTTATAAATTTTATATAAAATACATTTCACATAAAATGTTAATGATGCACGGTTTTGCAACTCTAGTTGAAACATACTCAATGATTTGGAAGTTCTTTGAACTGCATTTTCTCAGACTCTGTTTCTCAGTGAATTATGTTATATTGGCTGACCAAACCTAATAAACAAGTGAAGAAATCCTCCTTGAAATCTGATTATTCTCCTTCACAGTTTCATGACCACTTCCTTTTCTCTGTGTGTGAAAAAAGAAATTGCCTGCCACCAAAGACCTTCATAACATGAAAGTAAATTTATGTTTCATGTGAGATTGTGGCTTTATCTTATCAAATTTTTTTGGCATACTTGTTTCTAAAGCCTTATTCTGTATTCTGAGCAAGATGTAATAAATCCAAATCAGGGTTAATAAATTATCAATGCTGAAACCACAAGGAATGTCTCAATGGGGGTATGACCCCAACAGTCATGTAGCTAGAATAATTCAATCGCTACCTGGCTGCTTCTATAACACCATTAAAAAATAGCTGAAAGTGATTATTTCTGTCCAAAAGCAATAAGTACTTTCCAGTTTTGTGCACAGTATACATCAGACTGTTGCCGTGGGCGGTTTAGACTGTGACCCCAATGACAATCATTTGTGGGAAACGCTAGTCTGGCCATTAAGTGGGTGAACTGACATAGACAGGAGGCATTCAACAGTCATATCTGCTGGAATATATTAGAAATCATCACATAGCCTGAAGGCAGGCTGACGGAACTGATATAATGGAGGCATATGTTACACTAACAAGCAGTTATCTAAAGAGGTTTTCTGTTTTTTGATCGTCTTGACCTGTCAATCAATTTAATTCCAGTAACTCAAATTAATAGTCAGTCCTGGTTCAGCTGGAAATCAGCAAATCTTCAGTGTTTGCAGGCCAGCAGACCCACTCAGTGAAGACAGTAGGAGAGGTTTGACACAAATGATGATGCTCTGAAGCATAGCAGAGAGCTTGGGGGGTTATACTTGTTGACATTTACACGCCTCATGCTGGCTTAATGATGCAGGAACAGAAGCAGCCAGTGCACCTTAGCAATGACCTTTAGCACACTGTGGGAGTGGACCCACAAACCCGGCCGGTCAGATACACAAGACGGTCAGTCTACCTCTGAACTAGCACTCAGACAAGCCACTAATGGAGCTAAATTTTTATGGCAGAGAGGGCATGGTTGGTTTAAAGGGAGGGTACAATGCTGTTTCCTGCATTCAGAGTTGTTTACACTGTTAAAGAGTTGGATTCTCATGCTAAGCATGGACAAAGTTTCAAAAAACAATTTGGACGTATGACAGAGTTTTTTTCGATCGTGGCTCTTCATGACATAGATGAGGGTGGAACTATAGGGCATTTCTCCCGGAAGAGCGCACCCGCGCACGCAACGACCAGAGTGAGAGCGAGATTGCTCCCATCAAGTGCTTCATCCGGCGGCAGAGCTGCACGGGTCTTGCTCAGGAAGAATGTCTCCAATCCAAAGAAGTGTGTTTTTGGTTGTAAGGGAAAGATAACTTTGTTCAGCTTCCTAAAGAACCCAGCGTTATGTAAACAGTGGATACAGTTTGTTTTTTCCGGGGCAGCAACGGAGTTTCACTAGTTGACGAATGTTTTATAAACAAGGCCCAGTTCGACGCTGGATTTGCACATCGTTTGATACTGAAAGATGGAGCAGTCCCAGCTATAAAAGATCCCGGTCATGATTCAGAACTGCAGACGGTAAGTGAAACAGCATCAAATGTCTGTTTTGTTGGCATTCGGCGCTCAAGTGCTCGTCACTCTTTAGCTCCGCCCACGGCGCGCCTCCACGAGCTCTGCTTTTTCCGGAGAGAATCATAAAGCTGTATATTTCTTTTATAAATATGTTAAAACTAAAGACTTTTTGGAGATATGAAGGATGCAGTACTACTCTATAAGTACTCAAGATTAACATGAGATTGGGTGAAACTGTGTGTGTTATGCCCCCTTCAAGGTCTGAGCGGTTGTTTATGGTGGCCCAGGGTTTGATGGATTTTCAGAGAACACCTCTGGGATTTGCTGTTAAGGCATCAACAGTTTTGAAATGCTATAGATACGGCGAATAAACACGGCAGGGATCCCTAAGTCAAGTGCAAGTAATGAGCTATTGATTTCCTGCATCCTGTGACATAATCTTGACGGCACAACATCAGATTCAGACCACTTTTAGCTCGCTTACGAAGGAAAAGAAGCAATGCATTCACTAGAGTTTCTAAACAACACATCTAAATCTTTAAACCTCATATTGTGTTCTGGCCATTTTTCTGACCTGGAAAGAGTATGAAAAGGACCAGCATACAAAAAAATTGCTAATAAATTTCTCAAGCTATGTTATTTAAAACTGACTGACCATAGACCTCATTGATCTTATAAGATTACTGAGCTTATACTCAGTTTTTGAGTGACTACTGCCAAAATGATCCACAAATGATCCACAGTTTATTTATTTTTTCACTCAAAAACAGAGGTCCACAAGTTCAGATCAATAGAGCTTATGATCAATCAGTTCTAAAAGAAAAAGAAAAAAAATACAAAACCTGTGCTAATTAAAACATGTTGACAAAAAGATTGGATTCAAGATTTGGATATAATATAGCATAATAAGAGATTTACAATTTACTTTTTGACCGGGAACACAAAATTAGGGAAAGAATTTTCAGCACAGCACTTAATTGAGCAATCTTTTTTTTTTTTGAGATTTTAAAACATAACCTTACCATTAGTTCTTGTAATGAAGACAAAATTCTGAAGGTGAAATTGATAGAATTGTTTGAAGAGCTGTTAACTCTAGCGACCTTTCCGTTCTTACCTGGTAACATATGCTTTTAAAGTCTCCAATACGGTGGCCGAGAAGTGCAGAACAAATCACAATTCTGAAAACAAAAGAACTAATTACAAATGCAAATGCAAGTCTAAAAAACTAAATAACAATTCAGAAAACATTATAAAAAGTCAGAAAACACAATGACAAATTTGAAAACAAAATAACAAATCCGAAAACAAATTAACAAGTACTTAGTGTAAATAGAATCCATTGCTAATATGAGATTTGAAAAGGGAGGGAAAAAAAACTTGGCAAAAGGTGGGATCGAACCCGGGTCGATCACGTCAAAAAGACAAGGGCAAGCACTTATCCATCTGGACCACTCGAGCTGATGTTCTCCAGCCACTTTTAACTAAATCTAAATATACACCCCGTATTTTGTATTCCATAGTAAGGGCAATTCATACAATACATTTAAACTGAGCTACTTTAATACCATCTCCGAACTTTCTACCATGACTTCGGCTGGTTCTTCCCTGTATACGTTGATTGACAGATGTCTCATCCAGTCAGCGGTGAGTAATCCCAAACCAATGGCGCTTGTCGTTGTGTTTTCTGACTTGTTAATTTGTTTTCGAATTTGTCATTGTGTTTTCTGACTTATGTTTTCTGAATTGTTATTTTGTTTTTTAGACTTGCATTTGCGTTTGTAATTTGTTATTTTGTTTTCAGAATGGTGATTTGCTTTGCACTTTACGGCCAACGTACTCCAACCATCCATGCACTCAGTGAGAGTGTGTTCTTGTGCATGCATTATATTGTATGACTCTTCAGTGAACATCCTTTTATTTTTAACCTCTTGAGCGGATCATTCATTCCATTTACTGTCTGATGGCTCTCTTATACTATCTAGGTATCACGGATTCATATTTTTTTTACCTTTTTGATCCCAGATAGCTGATTTAGGATCCAACCATCCATGCACTCAGTGAGAGTGTGTTCTTGTGCATGCATTATATTGTATGACTCTTCAGTGAACATCCTTTTATCTTTAACCTCTTGAGCGGATCATTCATTCCATTTACTGTCTGATGGCTCTCTTATACTATCTAGGTATCACGGATTCATATTTTTTTTTACCTTTTTGATCCCAGATAGCTGATTTAGGATCTACAAACAGACATTACCGCTGCATTACACCTGGTGTATTCAAGAAGAAATTCAAAGTTATAAGTGAGTTATGAGGGATTTTATATATAGTAATAATTAAATATCCTCTTTTTTTAACTAAAAATACCCTTAAACCTCTTAGACAAGTAGAAAAAAGTGAGAACGTTTTGTGCAAATACTAAAAGAACAGACATATATCAGAAGTCAGATCAGATTGACGGTTATGTTCCGTCAATATTTAAATGTAAACCAATGCAAATCTGTTCCCTGAGGTTTTTCAAAGACCACATTTTGCACATTATTTTCCAATTAAGATCCATATTCTGCTTAAGTAAATGTAATCTAAACTAATATCACTCAAAATTAAGTTTGTTTAGAAATTCACAAATGAAATTGTTGTCAAATAAGGTCTAGCCTATATTGCACATATTGTTTTCATGTTAAAAAAATTTGACACAAATATGGCTCTTTTTTTCCCTTTATCTGGTTATAGCAATCTGTTTAATGCTTGCATGATCAAATTATGACTTACCATGGGAATGTATGCATGTAATAATCATTAGATTCAAAACATTGAAAATCTTGTGCATGTCAGAATTTCACATTCAAAAGCTGTAACAAAGTTTACTTAAGGGTTTCACCTTGGTCTGTCAAACAAAATATATAGCCTATAATAACCTGAGTGAAAAATATGACGCTTCTCATTTGGGATCATTAACAATCAGAAATGACCTGCTCAGTAGTCTTGTGTACTAAAGAACACGCCGTGCACTTACTGCTTATAATCAACAACAAACCTCTAAAACACACGCGTGCGCGCACACAGGCTGACGGTACCGGAGTGATTTATATCACGCCTACCTTTCCTTGGCGTGTGCTTGCTGAAGAGCCGTTACCTGGTTACAGGGGAGTGATGGAGCACTGAGTAATGTAATCTTCACGACTCCTCAGATATGAGAGTTTCTCTCGCGCTCGCAGAGTCAAAGCACCACGCGCTGCTCCTGCAGCATCTACGGAGAGCGCGAGCAACGGCTCGTCCAGGAAAAACGCTTTAACCTCTGAATTAAGTTATAAATATCACCACGGACAGTCTCCAGTTTGTCATATTCCCAGTTGTGAAGAGCAAGTTGGCCGACAAATATTGGTTTAAGGTAGGAAACTTTGCAAAGTGCAATTTTGGGGGGGTCTCTGTCGGCAGCTGATTGTTAACCTTGTAGTTTATTAATAGTCTTCGGTCAGTATATAAAGAGTTATGGATATTCATTCTGTTTAAACTGTTCGAAATAATATCTAATAATAAATATTAGGACAAGGCTCATGTAGATAAGTGCTGTGTGTGATGACAGATTCCAGGCTATATTTCAGAGCTCATTCGTGACTGCAGTAAACATCGTTGCTTTTCATGTAATGGGATATTAGCAAGACAGGTGAAGCGCAGGTGCTATTTACACTAATTACTTAGTGTTATTAGAGTGTAATTGTTACTTGGTAACATCCTAGTAAAGTCTTCAATCCATATTGTAGCAACCGTCTTGTAGAAATGTGGTTATAATAGACTAATATACTTACTGTTTTTAAATATATCTACTGGTTTATCATTGCTCCTAAATGATGTTGACAGCTTGGTAATTCTCAATCCAGTTTTGTGTGTCCAGATTTATGCATTGGATATACAATTTAGTTGTTAGTAGTATGTTTAGAAACACATTTATGTATACCTTTTCCAAGAATATACAAAATAAGTATGAAACTCTTAATATAATGTAGTCTAACATATATATATATATATATATATATATA